CTCATTTTTAAGGAAATTTAATTCTCCACAACTTTGTCTCTATAAGCTCAAGTCCAAAAATACTTCATTTGAGAGATATGAGCCAAAACATTATAGGTCATTTCAAAAGTCAACAAAAAGATACTTTTTGTCAAGGCAACTTACATCAATATAAAGTCTTCAAATGGAAAAGTGATAAACATAGATATTGTAGGGGACATCTTAAGATTTCCAAAGAGTCTAAGATCACCTTCATATGATAAAAATTGAGAGAGTTATGATTGGTGCAAGTTGGGAAATTTGGAGAAAATGCATAAAACCCAAATTGATCAAACTTGAGTTTTTGGGCTAGTGGGCTTATTTTTCAAGGTCCAAACATGCTTTAGATCTCATATTGAACCTATGAATCCATTTATACATCCCTTTGATTTTTATTCCATTTTATTTATTTATTTAAATTCAAAATTAAATTAAATAAAATCAAAGTTTTCATACAAAGGTCCAAGCCCATTCTTCTTGACCTAATTTTCCTCTATATATTTCTTGCAATTCATACAACAAAAGAACACACAAAACCTTGCAAGAAACCATCTTCCAAACTTCAAATTTTCTCAAAATTAAGGCAAACTACAAACCCTATTTTCAGCCTCTCTCAAAGCAAAACAACCATCCCCTTCAACCTCAGGGACATCATAGGGTAAGAAGGGATTGATTGTGATGATCTAAGAAGCCTGAAACGGTTAATATGCATCGTCGATTTTCATTCTTGCATAAAATTCATGTTTTTGTTTTTATCATGCTTTAATCAAAGCTAACATCACTAATATTCTTCTGAGATATCAATATGCAGGTTTGAACCATCGCATGGCCCCCATGATGCCAGAGTCATGTGTTGCCATGTTTATATCGTTTTGCATTATCCTCTTTGTATCTCATCATACAGGTAGAATTAGCCCAAACCAAGGCCATTATTGAGTTTGCAAGGTCTAAATTAGGGGGTAAGGTATCTTTGAATCACTAACGCTCTTTGTTTTTGCAGGTTGATAAACGAAGTCGCTGGAGAAGACGACTGGAGTTATGGCTCCAGCGTCTCTCTAGCCCAGTCATTTTGTTTATTATATATTCATTTGTTTCCATTGAGTTACCGGATGAAACAGCCACCCCAGTGGCAAGCGTGCGCGTGTTTAGGCATTGGTATAAGAGGGTGTGGGTTCGATCCCTGCCTTTTGATGTTTTTTTTCATATTTTCCAATGTTTTGTTATATTTTGTGTTGCAGCCATTCTACTAACACCAACACATGCTTGGCGCAGTGGTAAACCATGCAGGACAGGACGCAAAGGGCGTGGGTTCAACATCCATCCTTGACATTTTTCTTGCTTAATTTCTAACTTTGTTTTCTCATTATTTTTCTTCCCCTCAACCCTATTTTTCAATTAACTAAAAATTAACAAAAACCTTTTTTCCTTAACCCTAAAAATAATTAGGTTTAATTTTTTTAATTAACCTTTTAACCATTTAATTAATTAACCTTTTCTTTTTAATTTTAAAATTAATTAGATTTTTAGGTTTTATTTAATTAATTATCATCAAAACTATTTTCTTCATAAAAATCTTTTTCACATTCTTTTTTCTATTTTCCTTTCTCTTATTCATATATCAAGTTGTATAGGTCGTGCGTTTCCTAGCTAATAGTTTAGATCTTTATTTCCCATTTTCTTTTTCTTCGTTATCATGTAATTGCTTTCGGAATGTAATAATTTAGGGTTTTATCTCTTGCACTCTTTATTATTATGTAACTACCCCAAAGCTCTATAACAGTTTTAGGTTTACGTTTCTGCCTTTACCTTCTGCTATTATATTTCTATGCTACTGTTAGTAATTAGGATTTGTATAGAAAGACTAAAAATAAACTTAGAAAACCCTAAATTCAAGATAAACATAACTGAATCAAACACACTTTCACACTTACACCTCTAGGTTAGCCTCTCTTTGTTGCCTTACGAATAATGGTCATGTTCCTCGAAAATATAGATGCTTTAGCAAAAGACCCTCGATACAAAAGATCATAGTCTCTCGATGACCCTTCAACGTTGCCTATAAATAACATGATCTAGTCCCTTACGAAAATGCTAAAGCATCCTTACAAGTTGCCTTCGATGACCGTACGATGACCATTCGCCCGTCCCTTCACATTCAATAGCTGGGCCTACCTACCAACTAATGGCACCGACAGCACTATCTCTAAAGGAAGGGGAAAATAACAAGAACGACCTTGAGTGGATAAAATACTTTTAATCGCTTGCTCACAAATTTTTCTCACAAATACTTTTCACACATCACTTTCAAAACAAATATTTTCAAAATATTTTGTACGTATTCTTGAGGACCGATACAAGAATCATTACAAAGCTGACTTTTCAAAATATTTTCAAACAAATCACACACAGACAAAACAAGTTTTCAAAAGTGAGCTAGCGATTAAGATCCCGTAGATAACTACGAATGAAAAGGGTGCTAACACCTTCCCTTTTCATAACTTATCCCCCGAACTCAAAATCTTCAAGGTCTTTCTTGTTCTTTTCACCCTTTCCTTATTGGATAAAAGAAAAGTCGGTGGCGACTCTTGCTATCTGCAACATTTGTGATAAAACGCAAAACAAGTCAGTTCTTCCACCGTATTACAAAATGCATAAATGACAATAATTCCACAGAGAGCAGGTGAAGCATGTTAACTCTTACTATTCATCTACTTGGACCTCTGAAACGTGATGTAATGAAATGATACTGCAATGTGACAAAAAATCAAACTCTTGACTCTTTGTCATCAAATAAATGAATGAATGACATCAAGACTAGATGAAATGTCAAACTCTTCACTTTTCATCCTCAACCCTGATGAATGACTTTGAATGATGAATACATGACCAAATACAATGATCATGATATGCTGATGTAGATGAAAAGAATTTGAAAAATTTTAAGATAAAATTTAATATATGACAACTACCCTTATTTAAATATCTTTAACCAGAAGATATAAAAAACGATGGTCTTCGTATCATCATAGTGAAAAATAATTAAATAAAAATATTTATTTAATTATAAAAATATTATGTATATTTTTGCAAGAGACAGTTTTTATTTTTAATTTCTCAAACCGTAAAATAAATTCTTACAATTATACATGTCAAAATTATTATTTTACTAGTAAGAAGTTTAATTTACACCATATACAATTATTTTTCAAGAAATAAATCGTGTAAAATAAAACAAATCAAAATCATTTATTTATCTCTCAAAAAAAAAATGATAATTTATTTAGTAAAATAGCATGATAGAGTAGAATTTGGATATAGAGAGTTGACAATATGAATTGTGTATGATTTTTAGTTACGTGGCATGATAAGAAACCGCTAAAAACTATTGATTACGTATTTGATTTTATGAATCCTGTGAATTAAGAATCTAACAAGAGGTGAACATTTGGAGAATGGCATCTCATAGTTTGAGCCTACCTACTATACTACAAATTCCTTCCAATAGCCTAATCCAGAACCTTCCTTCCAAACTTGTGTTTTCACCTTTACGTCTTCATACCAAACCCACTACAACAACACTACTTTCTTCCTCAATTCGAGCTATGGCTTCTTCACCTTCTTCTCACTCAAATCACCCAAACACCACTGAGTTTGAATCAGGTATTCATTCTACAAGAACTGGATTCATATGATATAGGCTTATTGTGAATTGTGATTGCCTGAAAATGTGTCTGTGTGTGTGTTGCAGGATCTAATAGTGTTGATTATAAATCTTTAAGTGATGTTGAATGGAAGAAACGGTTAACGGATGAGCAGTTTTATGTTACTAGGAAAAAGGGAACTGAGAGAGCTTTCACTGGGTCAGTTTAACACTAAAAATATTCCTACTCTTGCATATGTTGTGACACACCCTTATTTCTAAATTTATTTTAGGGAGTACTGGAATACCAAAACTGAAGGGAGTTATCATTGCATATGTTGTGACACACCCTTATTTGAGTAAGTACTTACTTACACATGCTTATGGCCAGAATCATCTTCTATACCAATCCACTTGTGTTGTTTTGTATTCAGATCATCTACTAAGTTTAATAGCGGAACTGGCTGGCCGTCCTATTACCAGCCGATTGGTAAAAACGTAAAATCAAAGCTAGATTTGTCAATTATCTTCATGCCTCGCCAGGAAGTACTTTGTGCTGCTTGTGATGCTCACCTCGGACACATTTTCGATGATGGTCCTCCACCCACAGGAAAGCGTTACTGTATCAACAGGTAAAGAATCACGTGTTGAACTGGGTTACTGGGTTATAAGTTCGCCTTTGTCTATAAATTTATGTTTGTTCCCGAATTTTTGCAGTGCTTCTCTTAAGCTCAAACCAAGGCAGTAAGATAGTGAAATGTTTATCACTCAGAAGCAGGTGGTTTGATATCGAAAACTTGTGTATACGGTATGCTATTATTTACTTTACTTCAAGAGTGAAATTCTCTTGTGCTGATACTTATAACATTGTGAAAAAGTAGTTTATTACATTATTGTACAATTTCTTATATAATAAAGTTGAGGGTTGGTGTGTTCTTGTTAGCATTAACCAACTTACCATTGACTGTTTTTCAACATTGTTCAAGTTTTTGAAGTAGCCGTGGGTCTTCAAATGGAAATTACAACAACATATTTTTTCATCTTATCCCTCTTTGGAGGGCTAGCCATAAGTCTTTCAGATGGGAAAGTCTTTGAAAAATACCAGACTTTTGCTATTGGCTAAACTTATGATGAATACATCTATGTTGGTTGCTATGGAACAGAGCGAAGTGGAGATTCCATTTCATTGTTTGAATATTTTAAGAAGGAACAAGACAAATTGTTTATTCCGCTCAATTCAGAGGAAAAAGTGTTGATAATTGATGAAATGGAATAAAATAGACAACATTTTATTCCATTTTGTTTCATCCGATTTTAAACCCATTATGATTTGCCAAACTCAATGCAAATATTTGAATTGGTCTTTGGTTACATCGTACAGGGAGGAAAAAAATGCTTTGTGCTTTATATGCCCTTCAGAAAGTGGCCATGTACGAATTGCTCATGCAATGCAAAAGAGAAAAAAAAAATTGATTTTCCACCTAAGCATTGTTTCTTCAACTTAGTGAAAAATCAAAACTATCTTTATTGCACATCATTCACACACAATCCTTTCGTTATTGAGCTAGGCTCCAATTCCCTTATTAAATTTAGTGCCAAATGCATCTCGGCCTATCTTACAGAAGTATATTTGCATAATCTAAAGAACAAATATCAAATTGCAAAAACGAAATAGATGTAAAAATGGAGATAAATTAACATCGACACAATACATAAAAAAAAATTAAACATTGCACAAATAATCGTTAACATAACCCTAATATTTATGAACAAACTAAACCTTAATATTTTCTTTCACATGTGCCACTCTTTGCTTAGATGTATGGGCTTCTTTTTATAGGCAAGAGAACGCTTAGGTTGGATAATAAATTTGGTTCAAAACATTTTGTAAATCAAATCAGATAAAATCAAATCAAATCTTTTGATGTAAGGTATAATATTTTGACATCCAATCTTGTAAATTAAATCTTCTGATATCTTTAGCTTTGAAACAAATCTTCAGGGAATCCAATCTTCAGATGTGCAACTTGGTCCACACGAAACCACAATCAAATCTTTTAAAAATATAAGAAATAAATCTTTTACAAACTAAAACAATACACGTTGTGATGTCGTATCAACATGTCACGACCTTTTGTCCAACATCTTGCTGAATTTATTGTTTTACCAAAATACAACCAACAAACAAAAATCTAACAATCTCCCTCTTTGGCAATATTTTAGCTAAAATAATCTTTGCACAAAATATTTTACAAGAGAGATAAAACCACAAAACAATATTACTTCAAGAGACAATAATGCACAAATACAAAATGTAATAAGAACTACTCAAGTTCACATCAGAGACATACACAACAATTTTTTTTATAGAACACAATCTGCAAATAGAATAGAGAGATAAACTCTCATAAACACAATCAGAGAAAACAAATCTCTCATACAGAATGTCACATACATGATGTCAGAACATCAGGTATGCCATCTCACATAGCTTCAAAAAACAGAGAAACAAGAATTCTCTAACTAAATATTCCAGACTAGATGTCTAGACAATAAGTGTGATATCAAGCACACAAAACTTCCTCTTAATCTCATATCAGCAACAACACAAGTAAAACAAGGCAGAACATAATGCTCCCCCTAAATAGTTGCACACAAACAAAAATACTACCCCCCTCAAGTAGTAAGAAGCTGAAATAAAAACAACAAACAAAACTACCAACCACTCCCTCCCTTTTTAGCAAAAAATTGACAAAAATAATCATTCTCAAAAAAATCATCTTACTGTAATTTCCCTTTGTCAAAAACTTTCTTGTACTCCTTGCTTATCTTACTAACACCAACCTTAGACATGTTAACCAAAAACTCAAGTAGATCCACCACCTCCTTGCTGCCAAGAACATCCTCTTGAGATTCTTTAGAAGTCCTAACATTGACCATGACATTTTATAAAGACTTTCCTGAAATTTTGTGCACCACTAAATAAAGGAAATATGAAGTAATTGTTTCATTCCTCCACAACTGTAGTTGCTATAACTCCTCAAACATACAAATTTCCAAAGCATCCCTTAATTTCTCAAACTGGTTTACATCCAAGGCCTTTATAAATATATGTGACAGTTTTTTTTCAGTGGCCACATGCTCAAGAGACACAATTTTATCTTCAACAAATTTCCTAATAAAACGATGTCCAATGTCAATATGCTTTATTCTACTATGTTGGATGGAATTTTTGGATATGTTGTTAGCATTCAGATGTCATAATACAATGTCATGATATGTTACGCAACATTGTATTCCTTTAGTATTTATTTCATCCAAACCAATTGAGAGCAACTGCTTCCTACTGCATTCTCTTCATGAAAACATCATTATTTTCATTTGTGACCAAACACTCTGATTTTGTAAAGTGAACATTCAAGTCTTGATCACATAACTGACTAATGTTGATAAGATTTGTAGTCAGTACCTTTATAAGAAGAACATCTTCTAGACTAGGAAGTCCAGTACAAACTATCTTTCTTACTCCCTTAATTTCACCTTTAGCTCCATCACCAAATATGACAAAACTGGTGGAATGAGAGCTGATATCCACCAAATACTTCTGAACCCAAGTCATGTATCTAGAACACCCACTATCAAAGTACCAGTCTTCTATAGATTATGCTTTAAGAGAAGTATTGGCTATAAGACTAATATCCACACTTTTATATTTCCTCTTCTTTCAAGTGTTTATCCTTAGATGGTTAGCCCTAGATTGTGCTGGAAGTTTTTGAACCTCATACAATTTGAAACAATAAGGCTTTATGTGATCATACTCACCACACTAATGACATTTCCAAGATAAATACTTAGCTTTCGCTTGAGTCTCCTGATATCTGACAGGATGTTGTAACATTTGGTCGGACATAGTGATCACTTCCTTTCTTTCAGAGGAGATGAACCTATATTGAAGAATTTTGTCCAACATATATGTCTCAATATTCAACATTATTATGGATTTGATCATGTTATCAAGTTTTGAATTTAACAAAGCTACCTCATTTTGAAGATTAGAGGTACTGGATAAAAGTTTCTCTTTTTTCACTTTCAAGTTGAACTATGATTCTCTTATGTTCCTCTTCTATCTTGCAACTTTCTTCACATCTGACACATGGCTTTTTGAAAGAAACATCCAGATCTTCATAAAGGATATTTTCATCACAAAACTCTTCATCATATCCCCATCTACCATGGAGAACAGTAGCATGCTTATCAGTCTCAACATCAGGTTCACCTTCAGACTCGTCATCATCAGACCAAGACACAGAAAACCCCTTCTTTTGTTTCTTGAGATAGGTGGGACATTCTAATCTAATACGACTAAAACTTTCACATTCATGACACTGAATACCTTTTCCTTAGTTAGGGATATTTTTTGTTCTTCCTTTTCTCTGTAAGTCATTATTATTGTTGATGTCGAATGACATGTCCTTGACATTTGATCTTTGCTGCCTATCCATTATCTTCATAACCCTATTGAATTGCCTCCCAAAGAGCACAATAGAATTATAAATACCTTCACCAGTCTCCGAATCATGTTGAGCTTCTTTATTATCACTGTTGGAGATAAAAAGTGATGCTTTTGTTCTTATTTTTTTATCTTTCATTAACAACCAATTCAAAGGTTTGGGGTGACCCAATTAGTTCTTCCACTTTTATGCTGCAAATATCTTGGGATTCTTCTACGGCTACGACTTTTATGTCAAACATCTTTGGCAGAGACCTGAGGATTTTCTAACAAAATTTTCTTCTGACATCTTCTCCCCCAAGGTACTGGATGTATTTGTAATGTCAAGAATACTCATGTGAAAATCATGAATACACTCATCATCTTTCATCCTGAGATTTTTAAACTTTGTGGTGAGAAGTTAAAGTCTTGACATTTTTACCTTTTATGTGCCTTCATGAGTGGTTTTAAGAATATCCCATGCATCTTTGGTCATAATACATGTGTTTATTAACCTGAATATATTTTGGTCAACCCCATTGAACAGAGCATTCAAAACTTTGGAGTTTCCAATAGCAATTTCATCTTCTTCCTTAGACCAGTCTTTTTCTGGCTTTAAATCAGTAATATCCTTCCCATCTTTGTTTGTCAAGACAGGATGAACCCAACCTTTGACAACAACTTTCCAGGTTTTGCTATCAATAGACTTTAGAAAGGCAACCATATGTGTTTTCCATTAGTCATAGTTGGTGCCATTCAACATGGGTGGTCTATTAGTATTTCCTCCTTCCTTGTCCATAATTCCAGAAAATATATTCCCTGGAGCTCAGCCAAAACAAAACAGGGTGTCTGCTCTGATACCAATTAAAATTATGGCATTTTACAAAATATATGTCGAATACAATGTTAAGACACAACCAGACAATCAACAAAATAAGAAATAATGCAAGAAGTAAATAACATAGTTCAATTGTTAACCCAGTTCAGTGAAACTTTACCTATATCTGGGGGCATCCAAGATAGAAAGGAAATCCACTATAATAGTATTAGTTTGAAGTTCTGAACAACCCATGTTTTATAAACTTCTCACCTAATCACTACCCATGCAATTTCTACATAAGAACTCCTAGATATGAGACCCCTATCACATCCCCTCAATCACACACTTGCGATAATAATAGCAATGATAATCAAAATAGAAGATACACTTCCAATTAAACAGAACACGCTACTGCTTCACGACTTATGAGTGGTTCACAAATTACAACTTAAAATTCAGTCCATCTCAGTATCAAAGTGATACATGAGAAACTCATAATTAACAATGAACAATGACCAAACTAAACCCTAATATTTTCTTTCATATGTGCCAATCTTTGCTTAGATGTAAAGACTTATTTTAATAGGCAAGAGAAAGCTTGGGATTGGATAATAGATTTGGTTCAAAACACCTTTAAATCAAATCAGATAAAGTCAAACCAAATCGTCTGATGCAAGGCATAATGTTTTGACATCCAATCTTGTAAATCAAATCTTCTGATATCTTCAACTATGAAACAAATCTTCATAGAATCCAATCTTTAGATGTTCAGCTTGATCCACACAAAACCACAATCAAATCTTCTGAGAATATCATAAACAAATCTTCTATAAACTGAAACAATACAGGCTGCAATGTTGTATCAACATGTCACGATATTTTGTCCAACATCTTGCTGAAGATATTGTTTTACCAAAATGCAGCCAACAAACCAAAACCTAAAAATTATCATACCTTTCTATTTCAACATAAACCCCAATTTGGATGACTAGTGCAGATGCATTAGTGCATATGATCACTAATATCAAACTCTTGTCCATTTGTAAATTGGTTTCCAACATCTACCTCATTGACATTAACATGTTTGGCATTCGTAGATACAATAGATTTGGGGATAACATCAAGGTGCACCATATCTAAGGCAATCAATAATAGAAAATAATAAAAAATAATTTGAAATTAACTCTGAACTATTCCGAAAATGCACTTTTGCATTAACTCACCTAGAATCTAAAAGTGCATATCAGGATGCAACATAATTTTTTTCAGCTCCAAAACCATATTAATGTGAACAATAAAGAATGATATACATGAATAATACCGTAAATTCAAACTTCTTTTACTCATTTTAGTGTGGTGAAATACA